GGCCAAAAAATCGGATTTGGGTCACTTCAGGCTGCCTTAGATGTTACCGCAAAGTTAATGGATGTCCTTACTAACTGATGGTTGATGAGTGATGGTTAAGCTATTTCAACTTCTCAGTTAAATTAGAACGCGTTTAAATAATATCTTTTAATCTAATTAATAGATTTATTAAAGTATTCTGAGGTGGGGGTTATTCTCTGTTACAGCTGCTAAAATCCAGAAGGCTTATCCAGATCAAATTAAATGTAGGTTTCAACAATGCTCTTGCAGGGAGCAGCATTGTTATTTTTTTTTATTTGCATTTATTCCAATAAAAATGTTGTAGCCTATGACTTATTTTTTTATTTAATTGAAATAGATCTTACTTTGATGCTTTTTCCTCGCTTGCGATTGGTAGGAAGTTTATTTTCCTTTGGTGTTGAGCTAAGAGGCTCTGTGGAGGATCCTTTAGTACTTGGAGTAGCTGTTAGTCAGGTTGTTCTTCGACCACGCCGAGCTGTCGCCTCACAGTAAGGCATCACAGGATGGTCAGACTGTAGAGCTGCATCAGTTGTTGTTATCTGGCCTTTTGATACTTTTAGCAGATGTTTATGCTGCTCATTGCAACTAGTGCAGAAATTCTATTTAGTGAAAAAAAATTAATAAATTTGAAACACCATCCTGATGAACATTTGGTGTATATTACTTTATTTTATCATGATTAAAAGGTTTTTGTTTTTTGTTTTTTTGTTTTTGTTTTTTTTATAGACATGTAACGTGATTAAATAACCTTTAAGCTTAAATCCTTAGAGCAAAAACAAACAAAATCATCAGACAAGACCTTAGATTACAACAACTAATGTCATAGAATTTGTGCATATCACTACAAATGAACAAAATTAATGATAATTTTAAGTAGTTTAAACCAGTGGTAGTTTATATATATACATGATTAACCGTTGGCTGAATTTCTCTCTATTTCAATCTTAGTTATCATGGATGGTACATAAGAAAATAAGAATTAACTATACTTCATAGAAATAATCTTACTATCATATATCATCAGTGTTTTATTTGTATAATGAGGTATCCCAACTTTTGAAACCATGTCCTTTTTTTGCAGATCCATCATGACAGACCTATACTACCTCAGCCAGGCAGATGGAGTTGGAGAATGGAGAGTGAAGGAGGCTAAAGATCTGTCAGATCTGGTCCAGAACAGAATCACCTATTTACAGGTATCTGCAGACACACCCGCTGTACAGGCCAGCTGGCCCGTGTTTTACCCGTGAAGATACACTTAGACAAAGTCACATTGTTAGCATTCATCCAAGTGCCTGCCTCACACGAATAGGCGCACATTTGAGATTTTTCATGCTTTCTTGTCTCATTTGCACCATCTTTATCTTCCTGCGTCAGTTTCCACAAGTAACAGGTTAAAAAAAGAAAAAAAAAAGGAAGCAGCCGAGTCTCAGCAGAGGGATCTGAGAAGTGGAATTGTCATTTGTCAGCATTTTTGAGTCTAACACACACACACACACACACACACACACACACACTCACGCCAAAACACATAGAAGCAGAATGACACATCTGTAGACATGCTTACACAGAGATGCCTAAGCAGTTTAACGACAAACACACATGTCCAGTCAGCCGCGGATATTGATGATATTCAGGGCTCAGCCCCCGGCCCCCTGCAGCTCCTCTCCTCTTCCCTGGCTCTGCAGCCGCAGGGTTTTCGAATGGGGCGGTGCTTTGCGGCAGCGGGTCCTGCAGCATTAATGAGCCAGTGTGTTTGATGAAGAGGACCCAGTCAGTCTGGCTGGGCGGAGACGGCACCACTAACAGCTGCTGTCACCACTGCTGAGGGATCACACTGCTCTACCAGCTGCCATCACTAATTCATCACACACACCCGCATACACACACGGTCGTCCACAGATGGATTCACCCACACCTACATGGGCAACTGTTATCGAAGTTGGGCAACAGGATTGATGCTCTTGCTTAAATGCAAAGTGATAGCCTGTACATAGACGTGTGTATCTGGGTCTCTCATGCAAATCCATACATCTATATGTCCACATAGAGACAGACAGGCTCCTCCTTCTTGTACTGCTGTCGCTGCCACCTGCATCAGCTTCCCCCTCGTTCCTGCCTTAACTAACTCCATCTGTCCACTCACATCATCCAGTAACCATGGCTCCTTCAGATGGAGCTCAGTTTCTTTTTTTTTTACACTGTTATTTGTTACCGTCTTGTTTATTTTCCATATCTTTAGCTTTTGTGGTTGTTTTCCCGGTAACAATTCATCACCAATAAAATGTGCTGGGTAACAGTGAGTCAAATCGCAGCTTTGTAATGTTTTGTTTGTTTTTTTTTCATCAGAGACGGAGCTCTAATGGCATCATACCATAGTCATTGCTTAGATCACTGAATATTGAACAACAGTGAAATCATAAAAAGGAGAAAAGGGTTACAGTTATTCTAATTCAGACAAGGAAAATGTGAATTTTGATTTAAAACTTTTTGACATAAGAAAGTAGGGAGAATGCAAATCCGAAAACTGAAAAATCTTAGTATTTCAGAACTTTATTCTCTGTTCCATTATCTCTTAGCCATCGTTTCTTTGTGTTCTTCCTTCTTTGCGTCCTTTATTCCTTCCTTTCTAATTATATTCATACTTTCTTCCTCTCTCATATGCTTTTCCTATCATCCTTGAAAGTTCCTTGTGTCCTTCCTTCTTTCTTTTGTTATAGTTTCTACCTTATGCGTTTCTTACTCCATCTCCTTTGTCTCTTTGATGTTCTTCTCTTGCCTCCTTCATTATGACTAACCATCTTTTCTTATCTCCTTCCTTCCTTGCTTTGTCCTCATTTTCTTCTTGTTTGCCCTGTATTGGTTCACCTTTGTTTCCTTCCTTCATTAACTGGTATTCCATGCGTCCTACCTTTCTTCTTCATGTTCTCACCTTTCTTGCATCCTCCTTCCTTACCATGTTTTCTGTTCTGTCTTTCCACCCTCATCTCTTACCTTCAGTCTGTTCTTTTTGCCTGAGCTCGTCCTGTAATTGCAAGGTATCATAATTTCATCCTTAGGTTTATCATTTTTATTTGAAGATGAGAGGAAATTTTATTGCAAAATATGTAGGAACTGAAACAAGTTGCAGACATTTGCAGTTTTTAACCCAAGATGTAGTGAGAAAATTTTAATGACAGAGAGTTTTTCTCTACATAAAAAACAGGAGATACTGGCTATTACCCTAAGGAAGAAATAATGTCAAAGTATTACGAAACAGTACAACTTGTGTTTGTCAAACTAAGGGCATTTAGGTAAAATTACTTTAATCTACCGTGGCTAATACCTATTTAAAACCCTGGCTGATCGAGCAATGTTGAAAAAAAAATCTATGTTTCATTTCTGGACATTGTGAACCAATTTTCATATTAATTCATTTTCATTAATTCATTTATATATCACTTCATACAGAACGTTGTTGACCAAAGTCTAAACTGATCAAACTAATCAAACAAATGTATGCTTAGGCTAGTAGATTAGCATAAATGCAATCATTCCACAACTACCTGAAAAAAAGTTAATATTAAACAAACTTCTAAAGATAGTTAAATGATTCATATTAAAAATTAAAAGAGTAATAGCCAAATCTCAAACTGATTTTTTTTTTTGTCAGAATTTCCTTTTTTTAGAGAGGACAGTAAGTATGTCCAACTTGCAATGGCAGCCTATTCCACAGTCAGGAGACAGCAACTAAAAAAGCTCTCTGACATCTCAACATCCTCTATAGGACAACAAACGTTAATTGATCAGCCTGAATCGAGAGAAGATGAGGGATCATACATTTTAATCAGGTTGGGCAGATACTGAGGGGCACAACCATGTAGAAGCTTTTAAAATAAAAGAATAAAATAACTTTCAAGTCAATACTCTAACAAGGGAGAAATGCTAAACCAAGCGTGATATGTTCATGTTAATAGGCGACTTTCATTCCCCAACAGGAAGACCATTGCAATAACCTGAGTCTTAAAAAAACATGAATTAAAATCACAAAATTAAGAATTTTGCTTTAGCGAGTTGCTTCAAATGAATAATAACTTGACTTGATTATGGATTTATTCTGTGGAGCTTGGAACTCAATGCTAATTTTGACATTTTCAATTGAAAAAGCTTCCTGAATGGGAAGCGAAACATCTTCAAATTTGAAAAGACAAAGTCCAGTGATTGTTTTTTAACATTTTTTTGTAATGACTATGACCTGGATGACTGTGAATCTTCACCAGCATACTGCTTTCCTTGTTTTATTGGCATATACATTTGAAAGTAATCAGCATGGAAATGACAGGAACTTTAAAGTTTCTGAAGGATTAAACCAGAAGATGTAAGTAAATGAAGGAGAGAAGAGGGCAAAGTATAGTCACCTTTTAGAGCCCCTCATGTAAGGGGTGCTACTCAAGACTCAACAGAATTAACTTGAACACAAAAACATCTCTTAGTTATATAAGTACAAGCCTCGTGAGACCATCCTGATCTCGCGAGCTTTCAAGGTTTCACTCGCAGATCAGTCTGGAGACTCTCCGT